GGTTTCCTTAGCGCATACGGAATTCGTCGACACGCCTGAGCCACCGGTGGCACCGAACGGTCTTGTGGTAGCGAAAGTTGCAAATTTTTAAGCTTACCCGTTGCAGGCTTGACGTGTGCGCTATTTTGGGCCACTAAGCTGTAGATGGCTTCATCATGAGCTGCGCGCGACGTCCAGCGAGGGCAACCAACGCGAAGAACTCCAAGTTCCTTCGCCACCTTGCTACCCAGAATTGCTTCGCAGCGTCCTTCAGACTCGCCCAGCACGTACGCCTTCGCCGTCACAGATTTGGAGCCGGACCGAAACTCAACGACCACCGCTTTATCCACATTGAGAGGCTGCGTTTGACCATAGGGAAACAGATTTCGCGAGACTACTGCCTCCGAGAACACAACGCCCTGCTGAACCAAGGAGCGCCAGGTGGATGCATCAAAGAGAGCGCGGGAGGCCATTGAATCGACGTACATACTGGTTGGCACGCCACCAACCAAAATTGGCATTCGGTTCGCCTCAAGCTGCGCGGGAAGACGCGACGACGAGGACGAAACCGCAAATGAGAAGTCGGAGTCATCCGATGAGTCGAACGACGGCGCCGTAGTCACTAGCTTTACTTCGTCACGCTTGGACGAGCCCAGTGGTTTGGCCGATTGTGACTGAGATGACGAACTTTCAGATGGTCCTGGACGACGCACATTGGGGCGACGCGGCTTGTCCGGGCAACGATTGGAGAAGTGCCCCAAACGCTCACAAGTGTAGCACATCCCATCCTCGTCGCCAATGTTATTTTATGCGAACCAACAGTGAGTGAGAAATCAACGAACACTGCATATCGATTAACTACTTTAATCATTCAAATAAAACGTAGAATTATAAAAGGAAATTGCATTCATTTTGACGTAATCTAAAACTAACTCCGGAACCACGGCTGGTCCGGGAAAAGGGTGTCTTATGGACACAATCGGTAGCGTCCCCTAGCGGGCCGCTACAGTAACTACTACATCATTGATGGCCGTTTCGAGGTCTCTAAAATTGCATATTCTTCACCCACCTCAAACCATAGAAAAAGCACGAAAAAAAAACCACAAAAATGTTGAAAAGTTGCCTTTAAATTGTTCTACCGGAGTCCTCAGAATTCGTTCGGTAACCCCCCTCCCCTCGTCTATAAAAGAGAAAAACGTACGAGGTATATTTTTTTTTCAAGTAAAAACTTTGCACGTGGCTAGTTGTTGCCTTGAGACGTGGTTAAATTGGGCTTATTTTAATACTTTCAAAAAAAAAAAAAAAACAGTAAAATAATTATATTTTTAAAAAATATGCTACTTGGCTGGCTGATTTTATCCCATTTTTCTCCTCTCATGGGTGTTTCCCACCCCCACCGATGGATTTAATATTTAACTCCATTATTGGCTGTTTCGTGGTTGAATTCATAAATCCATCAGTAAAAATATTCCGTGCAAAATTTCGATATCTCTGCAGAAGTGAATCTATATTATTATAGCACTCTTATATTTGGATCGAATTCCATGAAAACGATAGATAAAATCCAGAAAACATTTTAAAGGCTGTCAAAAAATTTTCAAAATGTTGTCGTTCATCGAGAAAAGAATAAACTTACAAAATTGTGAGGCATATCGTCAAGGTTGTGTTTTGATGACCCGTCACCCTCACATTCCTGTGCTATTTATTTAAATTCGATCTCAACTCTGCTGGAGAATTTTACGAGTGCGATTTCGTATTCGGCATATTTTTCTTCAATTCCGAATCGAAAGAATGCTCGAGTGTCACTTCTCAAAACGTCAATAATTAGGTCAATGCAGAAATGGCTTGTAAGTTGTAACCATTTCTCTCGATTTAATTTTACCATTACCTCATACAAGTACTATCAGAATACTCGTCATTCTTGAAATTTTTCTTCATTTATCGCACATATCTTCGCACC